TGTCCCCTGAGTGTCCCCTGAGTGTCTCCTGAGTGTCCCCAACATCCCCTGAGTGTCCCCAATGTCCCCTGAGTGTCCCCAATGCCCCCTCAGTGTCCCCAACATCCCCTGAGTGTCCCCTGAGTGTCCCCCCTGTCCCCCAGGTACTTCCACCGGCCGGCCGATGGCTCGGAGGGTCTGTTCGACACCGTGTCCCCCCAATGTCCCCTGAGTGTCCCCTGAGTGTCCCCAATGTCCCCTGAGTGCCCCCTGAGTGTCCCCAATGTCCCCTGAGTGTCCCCTAAGTGTCCCCTGAGTATCCCCTGAGTGTCCCCTGAGTGTCCCCCCAGTGTCCCCAATGTTCCAAACATCCTGACTGTCCCCAGTGCCCCCTGAGTGTCCCCAATGTCCCAAACATCCTGAGTGTCCCCACTGTCCCCTGAGTGTCCTCCAGCCTGAGTGTCCCTCGATGACTATCCCCTGAGTGTCCCCTGAGTGTCCCCAATGTCCCCAACATCCTGAGTGTCCCCTGAGTGTCCCCAGCACCCCCTGAGTGTCCCCAATGTCCCCAACGTCCCCTGAGTGTCCCCAATGCCCCCTGAGTGACCCCAGTGTCCCCAATGTCCCCTGAGTGTCCCCAATGTCCCCTGAGTGTCCCCAATGTCCCAAACATCCCCTGAGTGTCCCCTGAGTGTCCCAAACATCCTGAGTGTCCCCAATGCCCCGAGTGTCCTCTGAGTGTCCCCAATATCTTGAGTGTCCCCAACATCCCCTGAGTGTCCCCAATGTCCCAAACACCCTGAGTGTCCCCAATGCCCCCTGAGTGTCCCCTGAGTGTCCCCAATGTCCCAAACATCCTGAGTGTCCCCAATGTCCCCTGAGTGTCCCCAACATCCCCTGAGTGTCCCCAATGTCCCCTGAGTGTCCCCAATGTCCCCCCCAATGTCCCCAACATCCCCTGAGTGTCCCCAATGTCCCCTGAGTGTCCCCCCAGTGTCCCCAATGTCCCCTGTCCCCAGGTACTTCCACCGGCCTGCTGATGGCTCGGAGGGTCTCTTCGACGCCGTGTCCATCCCTGTGTCCCCTGAGTGTCCCCTGAGTGCCCCCTCAGTGTCCCCCCAGTGTCCCCAATGTCCCCAACATCCCCTGAGTGTCCCCTGAGTGTCCCCCCTGTCCCCTGACTGTCCCCAGGTACTTCCACCGTCCTGCTGATGGCTCGGAGGGTCTCTTCGACGCCGTGTCCATCATGGACGCCGACATCCTGGGCTACTGCCAGAAGGAGGCCTGGTGCAAACTGGCCTTCTACCTCCTCTCCTTCTTCTACTACCTGTACAGGTCGGCTCCAGGCACTGGGAGCACTGGGAGGGCACTGGGAGCGGGTTTGGGGGCACTGGGAGGGACTGGGAGGGGGTTTGGGGGCAGTGGAGGGGGCTTGAGGGACTGGGAGGGGCTTGGGGGACTGGGAGGACTGGGAGGGGTTTGGAGGCACTGGGAGGGGTTTGGGGGACTGGGAGGGGGTTTGGGGGACTGGGAGGCACTGGGAGCAGGTTTGAGGGAAGTGGGAGGGGGTTTGGGGGGACTGGGGAGGGGGTTTGGGAGGACTGGGAAGGGGTTTGGGGGGACTGGGAGGCACTGGGAGCAGGTTTGAGGGGAAGTGGGAGGGGTTTGGGGGACTGGGAGGGGTTTGGGGGCAGTGGGAGGGGTTTGGGGGACTGGGAGGGGGTTTGGGGGGACTGGGAGGCACTGGGAGGGGGTTTGGGGGACTGGGAGGAACTGGGAGGGGTTTGGGGGAAGTGGGAGGAACTGGGAGGGGTTTGGGGGAAGTGGGAGGGAGTTTGGAGGGACTGGGAGGGGCTTTGGGGGACTGGGAGGGGCACTGGGAAGGACTGGGAGGGCACTGGGAGGGGGTTTGGGGGAAGTGAGAGGGCACTGGGAGGGACTGGGAGGGGTTTGGGGGCAGTGGGAGGGAGTTTGGAGGGACTGGGAGGGGGCTGGGGGACTGGGAGGGCACTGGGAAGGACTGGGAGGGCACTGGGAGGGGGTTTGGGGGAAGTGAGAGGGCACTGGGAGGGACTGGGAGTGGGTTTGGGGGCAGTGGGAGGCACTGGGAGGGACTGGGAGGAGGTTTGGGGGGACTGGGAGGGACTGGGGAGGATTGGAGGCACTGGGAGGGGATTTGGGGGACTGGGAGGGGGTTTGGGGAGTGGGAGGACACTGAGAGGGACTGGGAGGGACTGGGAAGGGTTTGGGAGAATGGGGAGAGCACTGGGCTGTACCTGGGAGGGCAACTGGGGGGCACTGGGCTGTACTGGGAGGGCACTGGGGGGCACTAGGAGGGCACTGGGGAGCACTGGGCTGTACTGGGAGGGCACTGGGGGGCACTAGGAGGGCACTGGGGGGCACTGGGCTGTACTGGGAGCACTGGGAGGGCACTGGGCTGTACTGGGAGGGCACTGGGGGGCACTGGGAGCCCACTGTGCCCTCCCCCCCCAGTATGGTGTACACACTGGTGAGCTTCTGAGGGGGACCCCTGGGACCCCCAGGATCCCCAGGACCCCCAGGACCCCCCTGCTGCTCCCGGACGCACCTGAGACCCCCCAAACCTCGGGGACCCCCGGATTCCTGAGGACCCCCAAAAAACCCTCTGAGACCCCCCAAAAATCCTCTGGAGACCTCCCCAAACCTGGGGACCCCTTGACTCCTGAGACCCCCAAAAATCCCTCTAGAAGACCCCCCCAAAACCTCGGGACCCCCAAAAAAACCCTCTGAGACCCCCCCAAAAATCCTCAGTGACCTCCCAAAACCTCGGGGACCCCCTGATTCCTGAGGACCCCCCAAAAACCCTCTGAGACCCCCTCAAAAACCCTCTGAGACCCCCAAATCCCAGGGGATTTGGGGGCCCCCTCAATTTTTGCCCCCCAAAGATCCTGGGGACCCCGGGGATTTTGGGGTCCCCCTCAATTTGGCTCCGTCCTCCAAATCCAGGGTCTCACCTCAGATTTTGGGGTCCCCCTCAATTTTGGGTCCCGCCCTCCTCCCAAAAATCCTGGGGACCCCGGGATTTTGGGAGTCCCCACTCAATTTTGAGGGTCCTGCCCTCCCCAGAGCTGCCGCAATGACCCCGATTTTGGGAGCGGGGAGGGGCGGGGGAGGGGGGCACCTCCCAGTCCGGCCCAGTGGCTCCCAGTTCGTCCCAGTTCGTCCCAGTTCAGCCCCCGCTGGGTTTGTGTCGTGGCTCAATAAAGACAAATGGCACCAGTGACCCCCCGGGCTGCAAACTGGGAGCACTGGGAGGGCACTGGGAGAGTGGGGAGGGTAACTGGGAGCACTGGGAGGGCGCTGGGAGCACTGGGAGAGTGGGGAGGGTAACTGGGAGCACTGGGAGGGCACTGGGAGGGTCACTGGGAGGTCACTGGGAGCACTGGGAGGGCACTGGGAACACTGGGATGGCTTCCCAGCCACTACTGGGAGCACTGGGAGGGCACTGGGGGTGTCACTGGGAGCACTGGGGAGGTCACTGCGGGTGTCACTGGGAGGTCACTGCGGGTGTCACTGGGAGGGTCACTGGGAGCACTGGGGGTGTCACTGGGAGCACTGGGAGGGACTGGGAGCACTGGGGGGGCACTGGGAGGGCACTGGGGGTGTTACTGGGAGCACTGGGAGGGCACTGGGAACACTGGAAGGGGCACTGGGAGGTCACTGGGAGCACTGGGAGGTCACTGGGAGGGTCACTGGGAGCACTGGGAGGGCACTGGGGGGGTTACTGGGAGCACTGGGAGTGCTAGGAGCACTGGGGGTCACTGGGAGGAGTCACTGGGAGCACTGGGGGTGTCACTGGGAGCACTGGTGGTGTCATTGTGAGGGCACTGGGAGCACTGGGAGGGTACTGGGAGCACTGGAGGTTACTGGGAGGTCACTGGGAGGGTCATTGGGAGCACTGGGGGTGTCACTGGGAGGTCACTGGGAGCACTGGGGGGGTCACTGGGAGGGCACTGGGAGGGCACTGGGAGGTCACTGGGAGCACTGGGAGGGCACTGGGAGGGTCACTGGGAGGTCACTGGGAGCACTGGGAGGTGTCACTGGGAGGTCACTGGGAGCACTGGGAGGCACTGGGAACACTGGGAGGCACTGGGAACACTGAGGGGCACTGGGTAGTCACTGGGAGCACTGGGGGTGTCACTGGGAGGGACTGGGAGCACTGGGGTGTCACTGGGAGGTCACTGGGAGCACTGGGGTGTCACTGGGAGGACTGGGAGCACTGGGGGTGTCACTGGGAGGGACTGGGAGCACTGGGGTGTCACTGGGAGGGTCACTGGGAGCACTGGGGGGTCACTGGGAGCACTGGGAGGGCACTGGGAACACTGGGGTGTCACTGGGAGGCGCTGGGAGCACTGGGGTGTCACTGGGAGCACTGGGAGGGTCACTGGGAGCACTGGGAGAGTACTGAGTGGTTACTGGGAGCACTGGGAGGGTGCACTGGGAGCACTGGGGTGTCACTGGGAGGGACTGGGAGCACTGGGGGTCGGTGACGCCCCTCGAGGACCACGGGTGACAGGTCGGAGCTATTGGGGACACGGGGGGGGAGGGTGACACCGGGAGGGTGACACGGTGGGGGTGACACGGGTGGGGGTGACACAGGTGAGGGTGACACAGGTGACAGGTGAAGGTGACACGGGTGGGGGTGACAAGGGTGGCAGATGAAGGTGACACAGGTGACACAGTGACACAGGTGGAGGTGACATTGGGAGGGGGGGACACCAGGATGGTGACACCGGTGACAGGTGAGGGTGACACAGGTGGGGGTGACACCGGTGACAGGTGAAGGGTGACAGGTGGGGGTGACACCAGTGACAGGTGATGGGTGACAGGTGATGGGTGACAGGTGACACCGGTGACAGGTGAAGGGTGACAGGTGGGGGTGACACCAGTGACAGGTGATGGGTGACAGGTGATGGGTGACAGGTGATGGGTGACAGGTGACATGGGTGGCGGTGACACCGGTGGCACAGGTGACACGGGTGGCAGGTGACACTGCTCCTGGTGACACAGGTGACAGATGAAGGTCACAGGTGACACAGGTGACACTGCTGCTGGTGATGCTGGTGACAGGTGACACTGGTGACACTTGCTGGTGACACAGGTGACACAGGTGACACAGGTGACACAGATGACACAGGTGCTGTGACACAGGTGGCACAGATGACACAGATGACACAGGTGCTGGTGACACAGGTGACACAGGTGACACAGGTGACAGGTGCTGGTGACACAGGTGCTGGTGACACAGGTGACACAGATGACACAGGTGACACAGGTGACACTTGCTGGTGACACAGGTGACACAGGTGCTGGTGATGCAGGCGAGGCAGGTGACACCGGTGCCAGGTGACACGGGTGACACAGTGTCTCAGGTGTCCCCAGGTGTGTCCCCAGGACTGTCCCCAGGTGTGTCCCAGGTGACACAGGTGTGTCCCCAGCTGTGTCTCAGGTGAGCATAGGTGACACAGGTGTGTCCCAGGTGTCCCCAGGAGTGCGTCAGGTGACACAGTTGACACAGGTGTGTCCCCAGGAGTGTCCCAGGAGTGTCTCAGGTGCCTCCAGGTGGGCACAGGTGACACAGCTGTGTCCCCAGGTGCATCTCAGGTGACACAGATGTGTCCATGGATGTGTCCCAGGTGCCTCCAGGTCCATCTCAGGTGTCTCAAGTGACACAGGTGTGTCCCAGGTGTCCCCAGGTCCATCTCAGGTGTCCCCAGGTCCATCTCAGGTGTCCCCAGGAGTGTCCCAGCTGTCCCCAGGTCCATCTCAGGTGTCCCCAGGTCCGTCTCAGGTGTCCCCAGGAGTGTCCCAGGTGTCCCCAGGTCCATCTCAGGTGTGTCCCAGGTGACAAAGCTGACACAGATGTGTCCCCAGGTGTCCCAGGTGTCCCCAGGTCCATCTCAGGTGTCCCCAGGAGTGTCCCAGGTGCCTCCAGGTGTGTCCCAGGTGACACAGATGTGTCCCCAGGAGTGTCCCAGGTCCATCTCAGGTGTCCCCAGGAGTGTCCCCAGGTCCATCTCAGGTGTCTCAGGTGTGTCCCAGGTGACACAGTTGACACAGGTGTGTCCCCAGGAGTGTCCCAGGTGACACAGATGTGTCCCCAGGTCCGTCTCAGGTGTCCCCAGGTGTCCCAGGTGTCCCCAGGTCCATCTCAGGTGTCCCCAGGAGTGTCCCCAGGAGTGTCCCCAGGTCCATCTCAGGTGTCCCCAGGTCCATCTCAGGTGTCCCCAGGTCCATCTCAGGTGTCCCCAAGTCCATCTCAGGTGTCCCCAGGAGTGTCCCAGGTGACACAGGTGACACAGGTGTGTCCATAGATGTGTCCCAGGTGTCACCAGCTGTCCCCAGGTGTGTCCCAGGTGTCCCCAGGTCCATCTCAGGTGTCCCCAGGTCCATCTCAGGTGTCCCCAGGTGTCCCCAGGTCCATCTCAGGTGTCCC